CGATGCCATCTTGGAATGATGCAGAGATGGCTCCAAGAGGGAAAGATCTGTCCACTGTGCTGTAGCAGCACGTAAATACTGGAGTATAGGATTGTCTGAATGCCCTCCAGTATTACTCTGCTGCTTTAGTAAGGTTGGACATTGGCACACATGCTACAGTTGGAGCGCGCAAGCTTTTAAATGCTGTTAACTGTGCCCATTTGTTGGTGACATGATCTCAGTAAGATTCCAAGAAGAGCAGCACTATGGTTCTACAACCCATTCCTGATATGGTAAGATTGATATGGGGGCACTCCCCCCCTCCCAAAAAACCCCCAACTTGGTGACTGATTACATCTTTAAAATAAATCCATATTATTTACATGGCATTTGTTCTCTGTGTTTGAAGGTTCTTCTTGTATATTATCTTTGTTATCACTGCAAAAAGCTTGTTAGACTGGGCAGACTTGATATGATCGAGCAAGTTCAGTGTAGGGTAGTAGTGAATTCACAGGTGCAGAGTATTTGCAAAGGGACTGGAAAATAAAACAAGTTAATGGGCTTCATCTTCAAAATAAGTAACTTGTATTTAAAAAGCGTTCCTTATGCACATTCAAAAAGTGCATCTTCTCAGCTACTGCAAAGGATGTTAGGCCAGGCAGCCTTGATCTGATCAAGCAAGCTCAGCGTAGGGTGGCAGTCGAAAAATGTTAATTCCATGGGTGGAGATAAAGGAATTGAAAGCACAATAAGCTTAACTGGCTAAGTCTTCAAAGTCAGCACTATTTAAATAGCACTTGTAAGTGTTGGAAAACTTCTTCACGTACATTATCTCAGTAATCATTGCAACAACCATGTAAAAAGCAAGTGCTAGTAGCTCTGTATTGCAGAATGGGGCAGAACTAGGAAAGGGCAGCTTGTCTAAGGACCAACCAAATGAACTCTGGCTGCAAAGATTTCAGCTGAGAGGTGGCAGTGGCTGATCTCGTAGCACCTAAAGTTGCATTGTTGAAGGGGTGGGGTAGATGGATCATTTTTTTAGATGGGAGACCATAGGTGCTTCCCCTATAATTTTCCCTGAGCTTCTCAATGAGAAGTATAACTAGACTTGTTAAGTTAGAGGTGGGCAAGAGGTAGACCATATCACACTGGTGTATTACTTTCCTAATTCATAAAGTACTTGCTGTTGGCTGACATTTCTGTAAAGGGTGATGAACCAGGCAGCCCCTTTATCTGATCCATCAAGCTTGGTGTTGTGTGAAAAAGGCAAATGCCATATTGGGATTTTTAGGTACTGAAAATAAGAATGGTAAAGCTTTATATAATTCTACTCTGTAACCATGGTTGGAATACTGTGTACAAAAGAATATCATAGTACTAGGAACTGTGTAGAAAAAACCCACCGAAATGACCATGAGGCCGGAACAACTTCCCTAGGAGACAAGGCTAGAGAGTTTGGGCCTTTTTAACTTTGGGGAAAAGGATATTAAAGGGTGGGGGACAATAAGACAGGTATCTAATATTATGAATGAAAGTGGGTAGCATTTTCCTCAATCTCAAAACCTTAGAACTCAGAGGGGGAGTTCTAAAATTGATTGGCGGTGGGTTCAGATCAGACTGATTATTTCTCAGAATGTATAATTTTTCTGTGTAATTCATTGTCACAAAGTGAATGGCAGCCAGTGACTTAATATATTTTAAAATGGAAGATCTATCTAATCCATGGCTAAATGGAACTTTCATGTTCAGAGGCAGTATTCTTCTGAATTGCCACTGCCTGCAAGGAGGGCATAACCAAGAGGGGAGGCTGTTGCTGTCAACTCTTGGCTTTTTTGAATGACCAGAAATAACTTGCTGGAAACGGAATGCTGGACCCTTAGTCTTCAGGGCTATTAGTAATTAAACAATGAGAACAAGAGATCAGGGACACATCCCAAACCATTCTGGCCATGCCCCTGTGTGGAAAATGGTGCCAGATGTGCTCTAGCCCACCCCTTTCCTGAGATGCCTCCCTGTGACTGCTCAGGCATCCTCTGGTGTTCCATGCCACTCCTCTAGTCCACTCTACTTCCCTTATTGCAAGGGGGACCACAATTTTAGGAGTAGGATGATGTATGAGGTCGCCCCTTTCTTAACTAGATTTGCACTTATTTCAGAAAGGTAGTTTCACTTGCCCCCATTAATCACTGGCAAGTGGTTTTGTTTTCAATCAGCAGGTGAAGGCTTAGTTTTCTTGAGCACCATTTTAGCTTTTCGCAGCCTATCTGCAGTAGAAAAACCCATTTGTGGTAAGTACTTTAAGCCAAGTCTCCTTCCCCACAGTTGGTGCCCCCCAATTGTCGAAGTGCCTGTATTCTGCTGCGGGCGCTTCCGTTTGCTCTGCCGCACGATGAGGCGACTCCTCTAGGGCAAGGATGGATTCCCTGCGAAGGGCTTCCCCTTCTCCCTACAATCCTTAGGTTTCTGGCTACAATCGTGCCCCACTTTAGTACTCGTGTTAGAGGGAGCCCTGCATGGTGCAAAGTGGGTTGGGCTGTTTAGTCTTTCGGAAGAACAAGAAACGCTCTTGCGCAGTAACACCGCGGCGCCAAGCTTCTGCCCTCAGCTATGCCCGTGTGGACGCAGGAGAATGGAATAGGCATTTGTATCCCAGTGCAAATAAAGGTCGCAGAGCTCGTCCGGGGACCTGGGTACTTCCCGCCTTAGTCGAGCTGCTCCTTCCTTTAGCGCTGGGGTCCGCGACTGACTCGCCAAACAAATCCGTCCCCAAAGGTGCGTAAAGTGGCCGCTGAAGCGCAAGCGTTTTGTAGCCCGGTTTTGCACCCTGGCGCTAAATTCGCGTCAGTGCTGCAAACTTCAGGGGTTTGCTGAACCCTCTCTTGCGCCCCTTGGCACAAAGGCAGCGGATCACCATGATCCCGGAAAGAAACCTGGGCGGAGGGACCATGAGATCAGGACTCAGACGGCGACCAAAAGGAAGGTTTGGTGTAGGACACACCTTCCCGGCTGTTGGAAAAGCGGCCGGTGCTTCAAGCGTGCAGAAAAACACGGCGAACTTGGAAAGGAAGGTGCGACGGCCGTCCACGAGGTACTGTGCATGGACTTTGTGCCATTTGTTAAGCGCTTCGCAATAGAAGTTTCACCATGGTGAGAACCCCCTCGCCCCAGTAGGCACATTCTTCTGTTGCCGCAGCCGAACACCTGCCGAACGCTCGTTTGGCGAAGCTGCGCTTGCGAACCCGACAACCCCCGTTCTCTACTAGGGACCTGGGAGCCGTTACAGAAACTTTTAGATGCTCTTAATTGGGGGAGCTTGATGAGAAAAGGAATTTCCTCCCCAAAGGTGGTCGCGCCGGGAATCTGATTCTGCTTTACAGTCACCTAATCCCACGATCGGCCTGCTGGAAGTTTTACCTCTGCCTTACCGCATGGAGAGCCTCAGACCGGAGGGAAGCATTTGTTGCCACGGAAGCCAATTGTAACTTGAAGGTTTTGGAGTAGCCAGCCCAGGTGCCTTTGCAGACCCCCCCGTTTATCTTTTATCATATAGGAGTACAACAATGCTCATAGGACAGCCTCAGTGATCAAAATATTCAATGCATGTTCTCTTGTAATTCTTACAACAGGCCTGCTTGGTAGATTCATTGTCCCTGTATTGCAGAAGAGGAGGCACCAGGCCAGCAGGTGTGTACAGCCACCTAGTGAGCTTCACCAGGGTAGTAAAATTTGAACTGGGAGTTTGCCCTCCAAGACTACTTTCTCTGAAACACACCACCAAGCTGTTGCTTATGGAGGTAGGCCTCCCTCCAATCAATATGCAAATACAAAGAGATTCAAATCTCAATATACAAATGCCAAGCAAGAAATAAAAATGGCAGGAAAAATATGTGCAAACACAGGCCACCTCAAAAGTGAGATTAAGCTAGTTACTACCCCCCTTAATTACATCAGTTGCTGCTGCTTCTGCAAAAACACAGAAGAGGGTGATTGCTTTCAAAAGATGGCTTTAGCCCTTATGTTTGCTCAAGGCCAACAAGAGTATTTCTTTTGTCATTTCAGCTGTCCTTTCTAATCTGTTTGGCTGAGTTGGTGTGAAAGCATGCACCCTACAACCTTTTAATTTAGGGGGGGGGGCTTGTCTGTGAAAGATGCACCTGGCATGTAATCCTCACATAGGACTCGGGGCTTCCATTACCTCGAAGTGACACTTGGGGAGCCTCAAAGAAAGGTAGAAAATAGGCTTGACAAAAAGGAATCTGGAGGTGTGTTAAGCAAAGGAGGCAGTTTAAGGAAATGGGCTTAGAAGACAGGGAATTCAGCAGCAGCAACGTAGTTAATCGTCTGAAGAATCCTCATTGTTCTTAAGATCAGGAAAGCCTTACAGGCTGAGGAAAGGATGCAGGACAAATACAAGCACTTAGGTGGGGTGGCCAAACAAGTGATCTAAAAAACAAAGGATAGTGGTGACAACAGTGGTTTCGGAAGAACAGGAGCTACGTTGACTGGAACCAGCCAATTATTCAGATGCTCCAATGCAAGTCTGGCTTTAACGGAATGCAGAATATCAAACAAGCATTTGAGGGTAGTTTGCTTCCACTACAACAGAAAGTAATTTCAGAACAAGGGGCACTGAAGGCTTCAACACAACAGAATTTGTAAGACGTTTCTTGTGCACCAGAGAGCAAAAGATCAGGAAACAGTAGAGTAAATCCTGAACACCAGTGTTATCACTGCCCTTCCACGTGTCCCATTCCAGAGAAGAAATGCCACTTGAGGCTTTGATGCACAGAAGTGACTGCAGGTCATCCCTTGCAGTTTACAAAGACCTTCTAAGGAATGGCAATTACTGGAGTAGCCAAAGTAAATGCAAATTCATGCAAATTAGCTGCAATCTCCCCGTGATCTTGGAATGGAAGTAGTACCTACTGATAAAAAGCCTTGTGGAATCAAATCAATTTTCAAAACTGTCTCTATAAATTGAAGGGATAGAAAATAAAGAGATAATTTGTAAGCACTTCTGCTTTTCCACACATGGGTGTTTAATGAACAGTTCATCTTTTGCTATTTATTTTGCCAGAGCACAAGTTGAAATATTATCTGACCAGAAACAACTGTACATGTCTTTCCTTAGTACTGCAATTACTTTTACCTACTACAAGATACTGGGAATCTTAGCAGCATTACTGCTTGGCCCAGAGTTTGCTTCCATGTCTAGAAAGAGGCGATTGTTGGTCAAAAGTGCCAGAGATGTTTAAGCAGATGGAAAAGGTACTACCTTTGGAGAGACAGCCATTACCTAATTGTGCATTTTTTTGATGCACTTCATAAAAGTCAGCATTACAATCGTGGTTCATAGATGTAAAATACAACAAGATGGTTAGATATAAAAGGCAACCCTGCTAAACTGATGAACAAGGAACAGGACAACTAAGGTACAATCCTGGAACTCCTCAGATGCAAGTCTTGAGGATTCTTGTCATCACATGTGTGGGATTTATCTGAAAGTTGGTAGTGGCCACCAATCCTCCGAGAGGTGGAAAATTAAGTGGAATGCTTAAACATTCAGTTTTGTCACTCACTCTCTTTTTAGGCCAAAATGGCATTTTTCACACTCAGTAAGGCAACTCCAGAAAAAGCAGTCAGCAGGTCATCCATACTCCTTCAAGAGCATAGAAGTCGTCAACAGTGGCCACTCATGCCTTTTTTTGTGTAGGCCACATCATTTCTATGCTGGAGCAGCTATCCAATAACCACCCAAATTCTGCATTCATTACAATATAAAACTTAAATTACTTATTTTTTTAAAAAATATTACTAATATAGATTTCCCATCTTAAAATGCCTTATACATTTACAGTACTTATAATAACTATTTCAGTTCTGGTTTGAGGGTGTTTAAAAGGAAGGAAGATGACGAATTATAACTGAGTTAAAACTGAAACACAGAGTAAATCCCCAGGAGGGATTGTGGAGAAGCTAGGATCGGTGGATTCATAGTGCAAATTTAAAAAAAAGAAGAAACAAAAGTGCAGAATTGCACTGACATAGTCTCAAATGTAAATCAACAAGACAAAGTTCCCATACTGTACATGCAATAAGTTATAGCAAGCAAATGACAAGGCTGGAGCACTCCACAATTTTTAAGCTGGTGTCCAGAGCCTAAGACAGTGAAAGATGGACGCTGTGGATGTATGCTTCAAAGTCCTGTAGTTCTTGCATTTGAACGAGTGCTGTCATGCCTTGTATTTCTGTTTCCCAGTCTCACTTATCACACAAATATGCTGAAATGCAGAAAACACAACAATTGCAAGGACTAGAAACTTAGGAGATCAACATTCTGCAGATGCTTACGCAAGCCATTATTAGCTTGTATGTAGAAAAGACATAGCTGACCAAGTAACAGGATGAGGATAGGACTGTGGCTCCCATTAAATTCCACAGGACATGAACGGATGCAATCTTAAATCACATCTGAGATAGAGCTAAATCCTGCCTCCGACCTAGATACTGGAGTCCCTAGAGAAAGAGAGCTGGATTAGTCCCCTCCTTAATGGTGTCAAAGTACAACCTTTCAGGGTTGCAATGTTGCAGTAAGAGCAAATTTTGTCTCCCACCTCCACATCCTCAGAGATTTCTTTTGTGGTGGTAGTGGGCCCTCAGGTCTCAACTGACTTGTGGCAACCCTGTAGGGTTTTCAAGGCAAGAGAGGAACACAGGAGGTTTGCCACTGCCTGATTCTGCATAGTGAACCTGGACTCCCTTGGTCTCTCCTCCAAAAACTAATCTCTGCTTAGCTTCTGAAATCTGATAAGATCGGGCTAGCCTGGGCCATGCAGGTCAGGGCCAGAGATTCCTTTACCCTTACAGTGTACAGGTCTTCTACCAAAACCAGCTATCATTAAGATGAAATCTAAACACATTTATCCCACTTTTTGGCTAAAATACAAACACAACAGTTGCTAAGAGAGAGCTATCATAAGTGATCCAAGCTTAGCAACTAACAGGAGGTAAAGAACCCCTTTAAAAAGAACCACCTTCTCCATTCGTCAAAAGGCCAGCAAGGATGAAGCAGAGTGCACCTCTCCAAGGAGACAGATCCAGAGCCTCTGTGTGTGGCTGAAAAGGCTCTGTCCTGAGTAACCTCAGGCAGTGGGAGGATATGAAGCAAGGCTTCTATGAGGATCTTAATTAAGTGGGATGGTTCCTCTGGCAGGGAACAGTTCTTCAGATACAGAACACTTTTAAGGTGAAAACTGCTATGGAAGTTTTCTTTGTCTTCATAGTCTCCTCCCAACTCAACAGTGATTCCTGCATCACGCAATTCTACTACATACAACACTGAACTATTCAGTGGTGTGTGTATATTTTTTAACTGAGAGCTTATCTTCCATTTTTTAAAAATCAGACTTTATAAGTGTTAAAAGTGTTCTTTTCCCAGAAGCCTCCTTTGAAAATTATATTTAGGAACTGAGAGCCATTTGAGATCTTTGACTCTGAACTGCTCCTTCCACAGAAGCAGTCACACACTTCACATTCTTTTAGGATGCTACTCAGGAGTAATTAATTGTATATGAACTGAGTCCTCAAGGCTCACCTTTTTTCCCTCAGGGCAGAGAACAAGCAATGGGCACACACTTTCCCACCTGTTCAATGTGTGTTTGAATGTGAAAATTTTAATCCAAGTTAATAGAATCTGAAGGTGATAATTATTCCAGACTAATTCATGTGAAGTTCAACAGTATGATCTCGAGCAACATCAGCATCACTTGCTGAATTTTAAATTCAAGGCAACCAAGGCTATCACTGTGCTTGCCTTCCAACAGGAACGTATCCCTTTGTTTTCTGAAATGGCTCTCACTTCCCTAATCTACCATCTGGACTCAAGCTCTCTTTTAAGAAGTTCTTGCCAAAATGGAGCTGGATAAAACCCCAAACTGGTGTTTGGGGTAGTTGTGACTCAGAAGGAAGCTTTTGGCCAGTGGGCCTTAGGGTTCCCCAATATTTCTGTACAGCAGCAGAGTGTCAATATAAAATTAACTTGTGGAGCTCATTGGTGCCGGACAGGCCCGTGACTATGGTGGGGCTATTTGGGGCTCTGCCCCCCTTTCTTAAAGGGACAGCCCCTACTGTAAAAGCTCTTTAAATAAAAATTACACCCAAGGAGTGGTGGGGTGAGGAGATTACTCCACCAAAAAAAATTGCCCCACAAGCCACAAAATCCTGGCTACGGGTCTGGTGCAGGATGTAGTGATGACTGCTTTAAAAGGGTTTTTGACGAGATTCATAAAAGGGTATCAGCCACGAGTACTAAACAGATCCTCCATACTATGAATATCAGTTGCTGGAAGGAAACAGCATCAGGAAGCTGCTTGTAGGCGTTCCAAGACAGATGCCGGACTGGTTGGGCCACTAACTGGACCCAGCATGGCTGTTCTTTAGGATTACTTCCATGGCTCCTGTTGCTCTGGCACTTCTCTTCCCATCACTGAAAGAAGCATGGATGCTGGTATTCCTAAGAGCAGCTAAAGGAGGAAAGAGAAGAAGCGCTTTCTCTTCTATTGTTTTTAAACAAGGGAATGCATATTGAGTAATTACTTACATTCAAATCTCTGAAGTATTCGTTATAATCTAGAGCATATCCCACAACAAACTTGTCTGGCACTTCAAATCCAACAACTGAAAGAGCAATAGGTTATCCATAAGTTAAACTTAAGCAGCACTTGGGACAATGGTGTTAAACCCTCTAGGCGAGCTTGTTCAAGCTTTAAGTTGCTAATACTGCACCCAAAACAATATTTCCATAATTTAAAACCATAACAGGAATCTGTTGAAGGGAACTTTGACTCTTGAAAGCTTATACTGCAAAAGTCTTATTGGTCTCTACTGGGCTCATATACAGCTGTTTTACTGCAGACCAACAGGTCTATCCTCTGGAACTTAAAACCATAACACATCTGATGAGATATGCACTACAAATCCAGCACATAAACAGATGTTTTAGCACAGAAAAATCTATAAAATACCTATCATACTTTGCCCTTCTCTAAGGAACTTGGAACAGCCTGTACTCCTCCATTTTGCCAGAAAGACAGCCCCGTGTAGTCCTGAAGTATTGGGACCAGTGCTATTTGTTAATAAATTATTTGGTATCAGGGTTGAGCAAGGTAGTCGCCAACTTTGTAGATGAAACCAGATTGATTTGATAGTGAAAACCAGGGTAGGTTGTGAAGAGCTGCAGGAGGATATGCAGACTGGTGGGCGACAGCATGGCACGGGGTGGAAAAGAGTTACTACTTTTCAAACATATAGCAAGCTAATGGACTGTGCAGAGTCCAAGACAACCCAGATCACATGACTTAATCTGGACCCATCTCCTTTTGTACCCACTACAACTGTCTTTTTACTAATTCTAGTAAATTCTAGGTGCTCCAAGTCCAGTCACTCTTCTCTGAGGTACTTTTCACATCTCTCTCCCTCTCTACCCAAAGCCCCCAAATCTGGGTACCCTTCACATTTGCATAAAGTTAACTTACAGTCAGGCCGGTATCCTACACTTCGAGGTGTTCTTTTGACCAACAAGCTGTTAAATAGACACCAAATGAAATTAACTGCAGTAGAATTTTAACAAAGTAAATACATTCTGCACTAGCTACATGACCAAACACCAAAATTCTGCCCTCCCTCAGAAGTACATCACAACATAAACAACACAGTTTTCTACACATTAAGCTTTCATGGTTGGTGGGAAAGTGGCGAAGTTATATAAGTTTCCAAGGTGATTAACAATAAAACAAAAACACTGTAGCAAGAACACAAAAGTCAGTGAGCAATAAAACCTAGACTAGAGCAATAAAAATAATCCAAATGAGACATGGGGCAAGAAGAGAAAATGTTAAAACATACACAGAGCCCTGATAAAAATATACATAGCAAAACTAACAAGAATCAATTGAAAGCCTGGGCAAATAGTTTCCTGCCCGTGTGACCGGGGCCCTTGCAAAACTAACAAGAATCAACCAAAAGCCTGGGCAAATAAAAAACCAGCATTTAAAAGACTAAGGCATGAAGGCAGGTATCTGTAGGGAGGAATTCCACAGGCACAGTAAATGTGTCACTACAGAAAAGGCATGTCTCAGATAAGCCATGCACCTGGCCTCAGAGTAGGGCCCCAGCTGGAAGATACTAACTGACAGGCAGCAAGTTGTCTTTTAAAGTCATAGGTACTTAAAGGTGGTACCCAGTACACTGGACTCTGACCAGAAACAAACAAGCAATCAATACAGTCCTTTAAAAACAGGTGAGACATTCCCTGGAACATGTGCAACTGTGGAGAGCAAAAACTCCACTGGTAAGACTGGATCTAACAGCATCCCCAAGCGGCAAAACTATTATTCCATTCAGTCTTTACTCATCTTGTGTGGATGAAAAGCGTCAGGGCAAATACCTCACCATTTCTCTTCTCATACAAATGCTGTTCTACTATACTTTCACAAACAAGCAGTGAAGAGTGGGAGAGGCTCCCTGCAACATACCGCAGGGCATTTAGAGCCTCACCCTCTTAAGTTCATTCCGGGACTATCAAGCACGACTAGCACCCGGAGTCACCTCAGGTGCTTGGGGGTTGTTATGGCAACAGGGAGTAGCTTGAACTTTCTATACCCAACTGTAAATCTGATAAGCTGTTGGGTCTTGAGATATACTTACTACTTACAAATTAAAATGCTGAAACCAAAAAGCTTGTTAGTTTACACTGGCAAATTCAAATGTAACCATTACTTCAAAGGGTTCCTAGGTGGCAGCTTAATATGGCATAATTATAGCCCCTGAATCCTTAGAAACTACTAGCAGGTTACAGAAACCTTAGAAACTTTTAGCAGGTTGCAGCATGAGACCCTCTCTATCCCAGGTCCAAGCCCCAACCCTGAAATATAGATGAACACATCTCACTTGCTGTTGAAAAACCAACTCCAGACCCCTGAAACACCAACCAACTCTTCTGGGGACACACATTAGCTCCACTTCAGTTTCTTCTGGGGCCAACGGCTCTCTCTCAGACATCTGGGAATCTCCCAGATCAGGGATTCACTGGCTTTGGGGGATCCAAGGTATTTTAAAATAATGACTTCAGTTTAACTGAGCTCTCCACAAAGCAAATAGCACTTTGAAGCCAATTAGACCAAGAAAAATAAATATGTTTGTTTAGGAAGGTAGCTTCAAACTGATAAGGAAAGTAAAAAAAAAAGGAATGTAGTATAAACATCATGTGTTATTATTTATAAGGGCTTGTGATCTTGATTGACACAGCTTGTCTTCTGAACAGCAGCTCACAGCTCTGTTGTGAGATCTATCTGTACCATGAGTTCTTGTAATTATTTTTGTAAAAGGCTCATTTTTAGATTAAAAAATTAAATTGTCAGTTCATAATAAAATGTATATCACCAAAATTTTCCTTTGTTGCTGGGCTGTTTGTTAGCAGAAGCACACAGAAGGAGAACCAACAGCTTCCAACTAGGGCTATATTTTTCACAGGGACAGTCTTCAAGACCCAATATTAGGAACAGACTGAACAGTGAACAATTAACATCCTTCCTTTAGGAGTTTTTAAACCTTCCTATGAATTTGGAGCACAACTGACCTCAAGGGGTTATTACAATATAAACAAAATCCCCAGCCCAATTTGTTTGAATATCCCATGGCAGTTCACAAAAAGGCAATGGAACTGATAGCAATCAAAACATACCTGGCTACCTTTACCATCTTTGGATTGTACTGCTTGAGCAGAGACAGGAGGGTCTTCATTGTCTTACCAGTGTCAATTATATCCTGACAATTAAGAAAAGATAGTCTTGTAAAGGCAATTTAAAGTAAATTAGCACTTTCAAACATACACCCTACCTCAACTAGGAACTAGTCAAATATACAACAAGTAGAAATAAAACACATCCTTATCAAGTTTAAGTAAAAATAACATTAGGAATGTATCTGCAACTGGGTATCATATTCAAGGTCTGGAATGCATAACAAAGCTTGATCCTATAGTATCCATTTTGTGATTTTTATAATTACAAAAGCATTTTTAATATAAAAAAATACAGCTGGTCATAATGCAGTCAGCAATACTTTCTTGGTTACTCATATAGAAAGCAAGCTAATCAGAATGTAAGTTTTAGAAGTGTTTTGGTGTTGGTTACTTCAACAAGGGAGTCTTTTGGGCTTTGGAACAGCTTTCCTTCTTCAGTGGATTCTAATTCACACTGAGGGCTGTCACTATCAGAGCCAGGGGATTGTTGTTATTCTGGAGTAAAATGAAGTGATCTTGAAGTGCAGCAGTGAGGTTCAAGACTAACTGATTAGATAGCATTAACCCAAATTACACATGTTAAAGAAGTACATGCAAATTCAATACTTACTTCTACAATCAAGACATTCTAGAAGATGGAAAAAAAACAGAAGCCCATGAGTCATTGAAGTCAAACTTAGTTTCCAATTTTTATTTATCCAAACATTTTTAGACTGTTTTTCAGTTCACTATTTCCCTAATTAACCAGCACACAAATATAAGCAGATGCCTCATCTATGGAACAAGCCAGCAGAATATGGCTACAAATTATGCCCTACGGTTAAATTACCTAGGTTTCTAGAGCTCATTAGTGCATTCTTTTGGACTCCAAACAGAAACTTTATTATAGTTCAAAAATAAACTACTAATCCCAATGAAGATTCAGAATCAGCTGAGAATTAGGGGGAAAAGTATAAATAATAAATCAAATATATTACTTGCAATATCCTGCTGTTTTTAATTAGTTGACATTTCTGTGCTGTTTTAGGTACCTTCATATGGACAATAATCTAACCAAAAAGGTTAAAACAGTCACCTCTACAACAGTTTTTAAACAATACGCCCCACAATAGAGTTCATAACAGACAGTGCTTCTTCATATTTTCAAGGGCTGTATTTGTATTCAAAGGTAAAAGGGAGCTGTGTGAAATGCAGTGTCTATGAATCGATCCACGTGGAGGGGATGGGACAGAAAAAAGGGATAGGTTGCAAAGCCCAACTAAGTGAGCAGCTGAGGCGATGAACAGATTCCCCAGGTCAGCTGCCAGAAAAGATCTGGAGATTTAAAGCACCAACAATGCTACCAGAGACAGTGTAATTTGTCCAAAGGCAAACGGACTGCAGGGCATACACAGGGCTAAGGCAAACTGACTGCAGGGCTAAGACCATACACGGCTACCCTTTGATCATCCACTTTTCAACACATTACTGTATAACTGACAACATGAGAGAAAGGCAAAATGCATCTTTTATAGCTCCCAAGATCACTAGTGCTGCAGCATCTGAACAAACTGAACATCATCTTAGAGGCATTTCCCCTTATGCCCTTCCATGTAACCACCATAATGTGTGTCATTAGTATTCTCATATGTTATGATTAGTCCACATATACACTTTGAACGGGCTGGGCTAAGAGAGGGAAGATGTATTGTGACGACAGAGTATTGTAACAACTTGTGGGGATGTTCTACACCAAGTACAGTGATATGCATAGTACTGAAAATATGCTCAATGGCATTATGTACCTGAGAAGTATGTACATAGAGCATAACAAGTGCAGGAGAAGAAGCTCAAGAAAAATAAAGGAATCTTTTGGATACTGTGATGATTCTTTAACAAGACAATGTTCTTTCAGGCATTTTCCATCACCAGCTCTTGTAATTGCAAATGCTGTATGAAATTTTTCATTGGGTCAAAAACTACTTGCATGCCAAGACTGTGCTGACATGCAGTACTGTCCAACACAGCCAGAAAGAAAGGGACCTAGCAACACTGGTGCACTGCTTCTAAAATGTCTTTGCTTTTATTAGCTTTCCATGAACTCCATAGAATTAGTTTAATGTAAGTCCTGAAAGATGCTGTAGCTTCGAGTACTAAGCAACTATAATATGGTGCCCTATCGTTGGCTAGGGCTGCCAGCCTCAAGGTGGGGCCTGGGGATCTCCCGCTTTTACAACTGATCCCCAGCTGAAAGAGATCAGCTCCCCTGGAGAAAATGGCTGCTTTGAAGGGTGGACTCTATGGCATTGTACTATGCTGAGGCCCCTCCCCTCCCAAAACCACGCCCTAAGCAACTATAATATGGTGCCCTATCGTTGGCCCACCTGTGTTTGGCCACTGTGTGAGACATGATGCTGGACTAGATGGGCCACTGGTCTGATCCTGCAGGGCTCTGCTTACGTTCTTATGAAAATTATTTTTATACATGAACATACCTTCCCAGTTAGGGTCGAGAGGTCATCGCCACCGATTACTTTTATATCACCAGTTGACTGGTCGTTCTAATTTTAAGACAGGGAAGAAAGAAAGTTAGCATACTTTAAAAAAAAGAAAAGAATCCCTACTGAATTTAAAATGTGAGACTTAGAAAAGAAAAAGAAAGGTGATAAGATCTGGAACAATCCACACTAGAGTGCAACAGTAGTACTTTCTTCAGCTACAGCACAGAAATGTACCCTGCACACAATAATGTTGTGTCCCCTTTTCTACCAACCACAGCTCTCCTCCCCTACCTTGAATAAGTGCCCCAAAAACATAGTGGGGGAAAACAGCAGTCTGGGAAAGAGAATGTTTCCTGTTCTTCAGCAAGGTTTCTTAAAATGGAACCAATTCAGACAGACTGAGACTGTTAGGTCTGTATTCGAGATATGGGGAGGGGTTACCAGAAAGGATAGCAGAAACAATATCTTCTCTATTATTTTTTAAATACAGACGGTCGATCCTATGCCACTGCGGAAAGATGCAGAACACCCAAGACTGTATGGCTGAGAGAGGCAGTGAGCACTCTTGTGCCTTGTGCAGCATTTACCACCTGGTTGGTGCTCAGTTCCAAGAAACAGGACAAAGTTCTATAGGCACCTAATCCTGAAATTTATCAGGACAAACTGGGACCCCACCAAAACTTGGCTAGGTCTCCTGTCTTTTCCCCCCCTAAAGGGAGATTAATCACTCATGCCACATCAATACCCAATTTTAAAGCCCTCCTACACTAGAATCAGAGTTCTACATAAGACAAGGGTAGAATTATAGAGGTATGATGGCCAAATTCCCCAAATAATGTCATCCACATTTCCTTTCAGATTCTTAAATACTCTTACAAAAGTAGGAATGTTTAAGCTCCAATAACAAATGTTATATCGAACGATCACCACTTTTTCTACCCCCATGAAGCTTTTTTTTTTTTAAAAAAAAACCTGACTGAAGATACTTTAAAAGAAAAAATAAATTAATGCACGATTTCCAAAAGATTTCCTAACACCTAATCTCAAGGGGTCGTCTTCTATTATTCCAATATGAGCAAGACCTCAACCGGAGACTTACCTGTTTCCAAACTATTTCAGAAATATCCAGTGAACTGAGGAAATACTTCTAAAACTCAGCCTCTTATGCTCTGTTTTTTGGCCCTCCAGGGGAACTGGTTGGCTGCTGTGTGAAACAGGATGCCGGACTGGATTGCACTGGTCTATTCCAGCAGCCTCTACTTATGTTCTAAATAATGACCCACAGATGAGTGTTGGTGTGTGGCATGCAGCAAGCATGTGTTTTACTATATCTTCCCATTGTGGGCAGTGGGCACTCAGAAAATTGTGACTTCCTATTGTTCCTGCAGAGCAAACACGTGTGCATTAATAGCAGTATTTTGTGTCACTGAATCACATGGTGTCTGTGTGGAAGAGCTACTGGGCAATACTGGTTTCTGAAAATCAGTTTGCGACTTTAAAATCCTGATATCCCCCACCTCTGGATGCTAGCCCTAGACAACTGCACACTTGAAAGGTCTGCGTAGTGTCCTCTTTGCCTTCTTCATGTGCTTTTATTTTACTTGTTGTCCTGTCAGATTTAAACACACCCCTGCATTTCATACGGGCTTGGAAAGAACCTGAGCTACACTAGTGAAACCTTTTGAGCTATCTATACTGTTTGTACGGATATAAAGGCAATATCACAAGGTTAGTTTTAAAACAGCATATCCAAACTACACTGAGAGTTACACAATGTTAACAGACACATGGCCCTAGGGATCCTGTTTAGTGCATCATGAAAAAGCCCACCCCATCCTGATTCAGAAGACAGAAGGAAGTGTGGTTCTTATACTGAATTACACACTGGAGCAGAGCAAAGCGCAGCACAATACAAGATCCCTGTACCCCTTTTCCAGGAAGAGAAGTGTCACTTATACTGAGCTTTGGACCAGAAAGAAGCTGTGTTGAGGCTCTTCATAAATCATAGTGACTATTGTTGGTATATATGTTACCTGCTTAGAACAACACTAGTATCTGAGGTTTCAACTAATTACAAGAGAAATGCATATATCAAGATAAAACTAACAGCCCCTCCTTACACAGGAGACTTGTAATGCTGCTTCTTCTATCTGCTCTAAACCCCAACCCTGGAGGGAAGAGAGGGGTCAAAAATTTCTGGTGCCTAGAACATCAAGGCAAAAAACTGGGACCTCTTTGGACACACTTACACAATAGCTTTTCAACCTGATGAAGTCTACGGTCATAGGAATAGACTTGTCACTGTTTCGGTTCAAGGCTTTAATGTAGTCCAGCAAGTCAGCAAAGAATTTGTAGCCCCCCTTAAGAACACAGAGTGCTACAATGTGATGCCCTCCCATGTCCTTCATAATTTCTCGTGCCAACCTCTCTGTCCTGTGGAAAGATAGAACATTTTTAGCCGAAGAAGCACAATTTACTAGACAGTCTCTAATGCTGAGTCTTTTAGACCAGTATAAATATGAGGTTGCAGTTGAGAAATACACATACTGAGTTAAAAACTAATAACCCTTGCTCATCCAATATAGTATATTTACCTCTCACTTCACAGTGAATAGACTATTTACTGATCAATGACATTTCTGCTTTCTCACTTCTCAAGGTTAATCTAATAGCAGTACTGCCAAACTTACTTGATTTTACAAGGCACTGTGTGCCAAAGCAAATCCCTGTACGTGCCTAGTTACTGGACAACTTTCAAAAGATATGAAGCACACGGTTTTAGAAGGTACATTGAACCAACATTCTTAAATGTATTATAGCCTGATTTTTCTTAGGAATGCGCTGGTAATCATCCCAATAATCCACAAATGAGTCAGCAGGGAACAGATGATAATTCTCATCAATGAGCTGAACTTTATAGGACAGTGGAAGAGAATGTGGGATGCAAAAAACAACGAGCAGAAGAGAATAGTTGCTATGGCTGCTCTGCAAATATGTGTATGCCCTGAGGGGTTCAGTACAACAGTTCTAATGCTTTGGCTTATATAAAATTTCCCATAAGGAGAACAGTGTATTTGGACATAATTTCTCATGCAACATTCTAGCACCAAGTTGTAAAACAGCTCTTCTGTAAGCGTAGGACCCTTTCCAGCCACATACAGAAGAACACCTTTGTGTCCAACCCACTGACTCCTGAAGTAACGTGACCAAAGCAAAGAATCAGCATTATTTATAGTAATCTTTCATGAAGGAGGTGTTATCCAAACATACACATGCCACACATGAAGCTGCCTTCTACAAAATCAGACCACTGGACCATCAAGGTCAGTATTGTCTACTCTGACTGGCAGCAGCTCTCCAGAGTCTCAGACAGAGGTCTTTCACATCACCTACTAGCTGGCCCTTTCAACTGGAGATGCTGGTAACTGCATCTGGAAACTTTTGCATTAAAAGAAGATGCTCTACTACAGAATCACAGCCCCTTCTCCAAGCTTCCTTTTTTTTTTTTTTTGCAAAAAGGAGAAAAGTTGCACATACTGTATTAACATACATCCAACAACATGAGTTGAGTACACACATCCTGTTTAAATTTTCATTATAGCAACCCAGATCCATAATGTGAATAAATGTAATAAGTCATTCAAGTTTGAAACCCAACTTATTTGGTTATTTTGTAACATCTCTGGTCTCACATTTTAAACAACACTGAGGGTGATTCTGGTTAGTTTCCCTAGTTTTATTATGAATATTGTCATACAGCAGCAGATGCAGCATTAAAGATGTTGATAACTACGCAGCTTAGAAACTACCATAAGTACAAGAGTTAAATTTTAATTCCTGATTTTTCTAAGTACAGCATGCTTCACTCATAGCAGCCTGTCATACAAAGCCCAGGTATTGGCTGCTCATAATGGATCAAAACTGGTAACTGTATCCCATAGCCAGGTGCAAAGCCACCACTGAGCTTGCACTGAACAGTCATCCAGGACTGCAGTCTTTACTCATGTCTAAGGAAAAAGGTACCTACATATTTCTTAAGGAAAGTAAACTAGCTCCCGGCCCTCAGTTAAGGATGTCAAAGAAAAAAACACAAAGATTATTAATAATGGAAATGTCTTCCAGTCACACAAAGACTTCTATTGCAACATCTGTTTTAGAACATTACTACCAGTCAAACCAACCTGTCCATAATAAGTCCATGAGGAATGTAGACTTTTTCCAAATCATCTGCATAATGTTTTGGTATACAGAACAAATCTAGGTCGTACCCCTGTTCATCATCTCCAATCTGAAAGGAAACCAGAAAAAGGTAAGGTCAGATACTTTCCTTCCTAATAACAATCCCACAATCTGTGATAGTTTCAAAATCAGGATTTGCACACTGAAATATTACTGCATTAAAAAAAACACAAGGCAATTTGTAATATGCAGAAAAGTCATCTTAGACCTAAAACCCACTGATAGAAGTGTTGTATATTATCACTGGCATATCCTGACAGAATAAAGGGCTGGGACAGATCATTAGAACCTGGAAAACTGCAGACTAAAATAGCACCTTGTACCCTCGTTAATTATACGACACAGAAGTCGTATTATGCTCCTCTGTACATCAACACTCAACTAAGTGAGGGATTCCTTGTTATGAATTAAAAGTCTTTTGGGAAACATTCATTAACACTAGGCTGTAGAGGAAAGTCAGACTGGCTTCTAATGCAATCTCTGAGAAGAAGGAAGTATGTCAAATTCCTGTCCATATCTAGTCAATGTCCATGCACCAGAAAGTGCTCTTATGAGCAAGTTTAGCCAGTGATGTCCGCAAATCTCCCTTTCCTTTCAGTGATGGTTCTCTCTCCATGTATACACACACCAACCAAACTGGTTGTCAGAAGCTGTACTTCCCCACAGCTCCCCCCTCTAGCTTTGTACAATCAAGAGAATATAAGCTGCAAAGGAAAAGGTCTTCAGAAATAAGAAAAGGCTGAAATCTGAAATCCACCATTACATTCCAGATTTGCAAGGAAACCAGAGAAAGGCGCTGGTGGTGGTGGTGAAAAGTACCATCAAGTCACAGCTAACTTATGGCAACCCCGTAGGGTTTTCAAGGCAAAAGACGTTCAGAGGTGGTTTACCATTGCCTGCCTCCACATCATGACCCTGGTATTCTTTAGAGGTCTCCCATCCAAATACTAGCCTGCTTAGCTTCGGAGAGCTGAGGTCAGACTAGCCTGGGCAATCCAGGTCAGGGAAAAGCAAAGCACTGGATACTTTTATTATGGTGTCAAGGTTACACCATTGCATTGTTCAGTCTGACACTGTTTTTACCATTCGGGTCTATAATGGCATCAAACTCCAGACACAGCTAGTTCTGTTAAACTAATCAAATCAAGCAAAATTAGACCAAATATGACCTCCAAACCTACACCCTACAAACAAGAAATAACTCAGCTTAACATGTTATCACTGAACCTTGTGAAGACATGCAAAGAGCCTTTCTTATTTTTAAAAGCAAAAAGGATAGCTGGGCAATATAGTACACCACCTCCTATCCCCAGGCAACCAGGAATAAAATAAGCAGGCTCATAAAATATCCCAGTGATGGTTTAGACCTTTCCTTTCATAGTGATGCCTTTTCCCCGTGGCTCTTTGTTTCAAATACCCCACCTACCAACCATGCAGGCCCCTCCAAGCAAGAAGGTCCCTTTACACTTAGGTACATGTGATCAGTGACAGACTTCACGTTCCTGGGATCCCAGATCACCGCAGACTGTGACTGCAGCCATGAAATTAAAAGACGCCTGCTCCTTGGGAGGAAAGCGATGGCGAACCTAAGCAGCATGATAAAAAGTAGAGACATCACCCTGCCAACAAAAGTCCGCATGGTCAAAGCAATGGTATTCCCAGTAGTCATGTATGGCTGCGAGAGTTGGACTATAAGGAAGGCCGAGCGCCGAAGAATAGATTCTTTTGAACTATGGTGCTGGAGAAGACTCTTGAGAGTCCCTTGGACTGCAAGAAGAACAAATCAGTCAGTCCTAAAAGAAATCAACCCTGACTGTTCCCTGGAAGGCCAGATAATGAAGCTCAATACTGAATACTGAATCTCAAATACTTTGGCCACCAAATGAGAAGGGAGCACTCCCTGGAGAAGACCCTGATGCTGGGAAAGATTGAAGGTCAAAGAAGACGGGGATGGCAAAGGATGAGATGGTTAGACAGTGTCATAGATGCAACGAACATGAAATTGAGCAAACTTCAGAGGACGGCGGAAAACAGGAGGGCCTGGCGAGATCTTGTCCATGGGGTCACGAAGAGTCGGACTCGACTGTGCGACTGAACAACAACAACAACATGTGATCATCAAGCCCCAATGGGCTCCTGTTACAAAGGCCTTTAAGGTAACTTTCACAACTCCCTTCCTTCTCAACCTGATTAAATTATAAATACTGCCTGCTTTCTGCAAGCATTTTCACCCACAAATACAAACAGCCTTCCAAATGGAATGATCCCTGCATCTTTGGTGTAGTGGTTAAGTGCACAGACTCTGATCTGGGAGAAACAGGTTTGATTCCCCACTCCTCCACTTGCACCTGCTCGATGACCTTGGGCAAGCCATAGTTCTGACAAGGGCTGTCCTTGAAAAAGAGCAGTTTCTGTCAGAACTCTCTCAGCTCCACCTACCTCACAGGGTGTCTGTTGTGGGGAGGGGAAGGGAAAGGAGTTTGTAAGCCGTTCTGAGACTCCTTTGGGTAGTGAAAGGCAGGGTATAAACCCAATCTCTTCTTCTTCATCTTGCTCTAAGCAACTGGCCCCAACCTACTTCCAAGCAATATAACGAAACCCTAGGTTTCCTACCAAAATTATCTCTAATCACCCCCCCATTCATAGTCACATTGCAGTTTCACAGGACATCTTCTGTCCCCAAAGCCCCTCATATTCCATCTTTTCTAAGACATATGTTTAGTTTTAACCTCCCCTCTTCACTGGCCCACCCATTCTTCTGGACAACAACCTTAAGGGAAGAGTAAAGTTGAGTGAACACTGCACCTTCAGTCCTTTCCAATCCCTTCAACCCCCTCCCCAGCATAACTAAACTTCCCCTTAGTCTTTGAACCAATGTTTCCCCCACTTTCAACCACTTTTGCTTGGAGAGGAAAGAAATCCTTCTACACTCCATAAGGGATGCTTCCCGACTTCCAACCTCTTCTTTGAAGGGAAGATAAAGTCCCAGTGGAGCAAATCTAAAATTAGGTTCAAACTGGATCCCCCCCCCGCCGCCGTTGAGCTCTCTTAACATAACCAAACACCCTCCCCCTCTTCCTCCTTCCCTCTTTCTCAGTTTGAATCTCACTTTTGGGTGGTGGGGCACTCTTTTACCACCAGCACCACCTCTTCCTTCTTGCAGGTCCGCAGCTCAGGTACAAATCCTCCCCCCCCCCTTAACTAAACCGCCAGACCCCTGGTTTTAATCTCTTCTCGGGAGGGGAGAGCCACATTCTAGATGGGGAAAGGGAAGACGAGGCTCAAATTGAGTCCCTCCCTCCTCCCTCGACAAATCTCCAGTTTTGATCTCCTTCCCCTTCGGCGAACCGGAAACCCACGTTCTGTGGCAAGGGGGGACTGAGGCTCAAACTGCTCCCCTCGCCTCTTTCCAGGTCTGTTTTTAACCTTTCTCCTCTTTCTTTGGGTTGGAAGGGAAGCACCTCCCCCCCCCTTCTTTCGGCCTGCCTCCTTCTTAAGAGCACGCTGCTCCTCGCAGGGGGAGGCCCGGCCCGGCCCTGCAGTAATCATCTTTCTGCGGAGCGGCGTCGAAGTGGTCTGTCTTCCAGCTAGGCTGCTCTCGGGATCCGGGGGCTGCGGCGACTCTGCTGCCTGCGAGGCGCAGGGACCTGCCGCCTGCTCGGAGGGGAAGGCGGAGCGGCGCCGGCGGCAGCCTCAGTCCAACCAGCGCCGCCCCTTCTGTTACCGCTTCCCGCGCGGAAAACGGCGCTCAACATGGCCGCTGCGGCAGGAGTAATATGATCATGTCTCGCGAGCCCCATAGAGGCGAAAGGCAGCTGCTGCCTTCACGTAATGTGTTGCTTTATATATTCACGTAATGTGTTGCTTATATATATATCTCGTAGATGGTATTCTTCCCCGAGTGGTCCCCTTTTCATCTTATCTGTATGTTTAAGTTAGTCCACACGTTCCGCAATGGCTCTTCGTTTATGGACTTAAAAATTATGCACCGCCTCTCCGCAGAGTGCACGAGGGAGGCAGCGGACAGCACAAAACGATATTACAAGTAGACCAGAGACACGTCCCTGTAAGCAAGCAGCAAAGATGTAAAATCAAGGGGAGATGGCTCAACGTTATTGACAAAAGTTCATTTTAAAAAAGAAACCCCCCCTCAGATTTAGTCAAAGGCATGTGCAGTTTAAACTTGTGTGTGTGGTGCTGGCTGACCACTCTTGAGGGGCTTTTACTTCTTTGAGGGTTCTGTACCCAACCTTTCCTGTGTGCAAGGCTCTTACGAGGAAATGAGACAAAAATAAAAATGGATTCCGCAAGTTGGAAAGAAATTGGTCCAATGTAGAAATAATAACATTTGCTAATGGTATGGCACTTTTTGAGTATTCAAGGGGCTCTTTACAACAGCCCAGTGAGGTAGGTTAGGGTATAGGGTTGTTTTCCTCATATATCATATAAGGGTCAGGCTGAAAGAATTACTTGACCAAGGCCTCTTGAGTAAGTTTGTGGCAGTGATCAGACTTATGGTACAGACTTCCATATTAATAGTCTTTACGTTCAGCTCCCACTAAACTGTCATTTCTGTGCAAAAGCTTTACCTCTTGTATTTCAATTCATATATCCAACTATTTCTTTTAAATTACCCCTTGACTAATGTTTAATAGAAACTAAAGTGGTAAAAGCGCTCAGCCACCATAGGCTTTCAGAAGTGGTTTGCCATTGCCTGCCTCTGCATAGTGCCCCTGGTATTCCTTGGTGGTCTCCGATCCAAATACAGAAGCAGAGCCCATCCTGCTTTGTTTCTGATGAGATCAAGCTAGCCTGGACTACTCAGGTCAGGACCCAGTGAATATGTACCCCCTCAAGCTATCCTTTAGATAGAATTATAGGAGACTAAAAGCACATACTCTAAATAACCAAAATACCAAGACATGTTTTACAAAGCAACAGCCAGCCAGAAAATGAAGGCATTAGCCGGGTGAAATAGTATAGAGCATTTGCCAGCCAGAATAATGAAGGCTTTAGCCAGATAAAATATAATAAGGACTAGATTGCTACTACCTA